CTAAAGACTTGGCAGTTGTGTGGCTGTGGAGAGGAATATAAGAGGCAAGGACAAGTCCTAGGATAATCTTGGGCAATTGAGTGGCACATTTTCCTGAGATGAAAATCACAGGGGAAACTTAGGACAAGGGTCGACCAACTTGTTCTTAAAGGGCCAGAGAGTAAATATTTTAGGATTTGCAAGCCACATGGTCCCTGCCACAACTCTTCAACTCTGCTGTTGTAGCACAAAGGCAGCTAGAGACAATACATACGAAAATGCACTTGGTTATGTTCCAATAAATATTTCTTAAAAACAAGTGGTGGGCTGGTTTGCTGACCCATGTTTTAGGTCATGTCACATTTGAGGTGCCTGCTCTGGATCCACAGGGAGCAGCTGGAGACAAGAGTCCGAGTGTAGAGAAAGGTCTAGGCCAGAGAGAGAATCCAGGAGCAGTCAGAGTGCAGGTGGGCATCTCAGACCAGCAGAGCGGGGTGAGCAGGATGCTGAGGGCCAGGCCCGGGGGACAGGAAGAGATAAAAAGGACTGGATAAATGTCTTTCTGAGTGGTGGGAGGTGCACCTAGAGAGTGAGCGCCTCAGACGTTGAGTGTGTGTGGCAACATGGCAGCATGAGGGCTGACATGCGTCAGCTGGATGTAAATGAGGGGTGCCAGATTCTGTCACCCCAAAAGGTATCTCTTAGGCATTGTTTTAAGCTGAAGGCCATTGAGAACCAGCTGATGCAAAGAAACTCTAAAAACAGGGGTCTTATAAAGGAAATTTCCATTTATAAACGAAGTTTAAATTCCCACTTGTAAAAGGTGTCTCCCTCTCCCATACCAGGAAGAGGACTCTTATCAATGGAGAAGGTAGGACTTAAATCTGCACAACAAACCTTACTAAACAACCCTTGTCTACCATACTTTTCCCAGTCACCTATGCATTACTTGTCTCTCTCCCCCACCCACTGCCTTCCCCCATCTTTCCCCACCAGAATCCCCAGAACCCTTTTCCTTTATTATTATTTTAAAAATATTTTAAAAATTGATTTCAGAGAAGGGAGAGGGAAAGACAGAAACATCAGTGATGAGAGAGAATCATTGATTGGCTCCCTCCTGCCTGCCCCTGGATTGAGCCCCCAACCTGGGCGTATGCCCTGATCGGAAATCAAACTGTAACCTCCTGGATCGACACTCAACCACTGAGCTACGTCGCCAGGGCCCCCTTTCCTTTGTTTTAGCCTTAGATGGTAGAGAAGCCCAGGTTCTTTGGGTTACGCATTGCTGGCTGCTTCCCGCATGTGTCTGTGCATGCATGAGTTAACAATTTCTCTTTGTTTAACTCTTGTTTGTCTGTCTTTGGTCAGCCCCATTTACAGAGTCCCATCTGGAGAACCTAAGATGGATAAGGAGAAAGATTTTTTTTCCTCCTCTATATAACCAAATGGTTACATCCATGACGAGGGGGTCAGTGACAAGAGAGTAACAGAAACCAGATTAAAATAGGCTGAAGAGGGAGCAGAGATGAGAAAAATGGAGTAAGGTGATGAACAAGTCTCAAGAAGGCCGTGAAAACATAGAGAAGAGAAGGTGGTGGCTGCTATGGACGCTGGAATGGAGGGTTGTTTGTTTTTTAATGGAACAGATTTGTTTAAATGCTGATGGGAAAAGAAAGGACTGTTGAGGTTACAGGAGGTGGATGCTGAATGACGATCCCACCACTGACTACCCATGGGACCTTGGATACCTTCCTCATCTGCAAAGTGGAAGTAATAATAGGGTCTGTCCTGTGGGTTAAGGTGAGGAGAAGAGAAAATGTGGATACATGGCTCAGTGCATAGCAATAAGCTCTCAACACATGTTTCTCCTGCTATTATCTTCCCCCTCCTCCCCACCCCCTTGGCTTCCAGAAGGAGTGAGTCTGGGTGTGAGGGTCCGGAGGTCTGCAAGGTTTCTCAGCTTTGCAGGCAGCCCTAGTGATCTAGGAGCATCTTAAATTATTACTTCCTTCTGCTCTTCTGTAAAAGCCTAAATAAATGGTGGGGTTTTTTTGTTTAAAAAAAAAAATCAATAGGAATAGCAGGAACATAAGTTAGGTCTACCCCAGGGTTCTGCAGATGTACTAAGGCAGGATTTTTATGAGGGTTTCGATCTCCTTTGGCTTGTTAAATTGGTGACTATCTTTAATTGGTCTGAGGTCAGGCCTTCCAGACCCACATTTTCCACAGGCAAGGGAGAGTGGCAGGCCCTTAGCAGCCCACGTTTTTATTGCAAGAGTGAGGAGCATCTGTGTAGTAGGTTGAATAGCGTCCCCCTAAAATTCATGTCTACTGCTGTCTCAGAATGTGACCTTATTGGAAATAGGGTCTTTGCAGAAGTAATTAAGGATCAAGATGAGATAATCCTGGATTTAGGGTGGGACCTAAACCCAATGACTGGCATCCTTATAAAAATAGGGGAGGACACAGACACACATACAGAGGCAAAGGCCATGTGAAGATGGAGGTAGAGATTGGAGCGATGAAGCCAAGGATTGCCAGGAGCCACCAGGGGCTGGCAGAGGCCAGGAAGGACTTTCCCCTAGAGCCTCAGAGAGAGCGTGGCCCTGCTGACACCTTGATTTTATACCTCTGGCCTCCAGAACCGAGCATAAGTTTTTGTTGTTCAAAGACACCCTGGATGAGGTAACGTGTTACGGCAGCCCTAGGAAGCACTAAGTCTGGCTTCATGGCAGCGAAGGAGGACAGTGTTCTCCAGGGCCAGTGTGGAGGCACTGGTGGTAGTGGTGTCTCTCCAGCTTCAGGATGCAGGAAGTGGGTGCACGTCAGAGCTGGGACCTGAGGCAGAAACACATCTAAGAGTGGGAGGGGCTTGCTGCCCACTGGGTGGGGCCATCGGCCCAAGACTCTGGTTCCTCAGTTAGAGAGATTTGTGTCAACTCCAAAGCTGCTGTGACTTGACATTCAGATTTACCTTGATGCTGTTATTAATCCTCACCTGAAGATATTTTTTCCATTGAAGGGGGGTGAGAGAGAGAGAGAGAGAGAGAGAGAGAGAGAGAAACATCCATGTGAGAGAGACACAGTGATTGGTTGCCTCCTGCTCAAGCCCTGACCAGAGTCAGGATTGAACCTACAACCCAGATATCTGCCCTTGACTGGGAATCAAACCCACAACCCTTCTGTGCATAGGCCGAAGCTCTAACCACGGAGCCACACCAACTAGGGCCAGATTTAGTTGGGTTTTTTTTTTGCTCAGAAAAAAATCAACAATATTCTTTAATAGGCTGGTTTACTCATATATCTCTGATTGCTGTGTTTCTTTATTTGCCCTTCTGCAGCTTGCCTTACCTAATAAGACATGTTATAGATGAAAGGAGTTTTTGTTTTGTTTTATTTTGTTTATCTGGCTAATCCCAGATACTAATGACGTGCTAAAGAAGTCTTGTCCCTTTGTTTCAGCTGAGTTTGACTTTCTAACTCAGTGTAAAACACTTATAATTCCAGTGGGATCAGTGGTTCAGATCTACCTTTAATTTACAAATATATTTCTTTAAATGCGATCCATTAGTAGCCTAAGAACTTCACTTCTAGGAGATTATCTTAAGGAAAAATCAGAAATTCAGATGAAACTTTATCCCAGAATGTTTATCATAATATTATTTACTAGTGGCCCGGTGCACAAAATTTGTGCATGGGATGGGGATGTCCCTCAGCCCATCCTTCACCCTCTCCAATCTGGGACCCCTGGAAGGATGTCCTACTGCTGGTTTACAGGGATTGGGCCTAAACCAGCAGTCGGACATCCCTCTCGCAATCAGGGACTGCTGGCTCCTAACCACTCACCTGCCTGCCTGCCTGATTGCCCCTAACCACTCTGCATGCCGGCCTGCTCGCCCCCAACTGCCCCCTGCTACCGGCCTGCTCACCCCCAAATGTCCCCCACCAGTCTGATCACCCCCAACTGCCCCCCGTGCCAGTGTGCTCACCCCCAACTGCCCCCCTGCTGGCCTGCTCACTCTAAACTGCACCCCCCACAGTCCTGATCACTCCCAACTGACCCCCACTGATGGCCTGCTCGCCCCCAACTGCCCCCCACCAGCCTGATCACCCCCAATGGCCCCCCCCCACCGGCTTGATCACCCACAACTGCCCTCCCCTCTTGGCCTCTAACTGCCTCTACCTCGGCCCTGCCACCATGGCTTCATCCAGAAGAATGTCCAGAAGATCTCCTGGAAGGTCTCCCAGTCTAATTAGCATATTACCCTTTTATTAGTATAGAGGCCTGGTGAGCAGGTGGGGGCCAGCTGGTTTGCCCTGAAGGGTGTCCTGGATCAGGGTGGGGGTTCCCTTGGGGTGTGGGGCAGCCTGGGCGAGGGGCCTGTGGTAGTTTGCAGGCTGGCCTTGCCCCCATGGGGTGAGGGTCCCCGCTGTGGGGGCGTGGCCAGCCTGGGTGAGGGGCTGAGGGCTGTTTGCAGGCTGGCCACAGCCCCTTCAGGGTGGGGGGTCCCGCTGGGGTGCCTGGCCAGCCTGGGTGAGGGGCTGAGGGCTGTTTGCAGGCTGGCCATACCCCCTTCAGGGTGGGGGGTCCCGCTGGGGTGCCTGGCCAGCCTGGGTGAGGGGCTGAGGGCCATTTTCAGGCTGGCCACACCCCTGCCGACCCAGGCCCCCAGCCCCTCCTTGAGCAGCGGCCAGGGCGGGCTGGAAGCCTGGGTCGCCCCCAACCCAGGCTCCCAGCACTCCTTGAGCGGCTGCCAGAGCGGGCGGGAAGCTTGGCTTCCTCCATTGCAGGGGGCAACCCAAGCCTCCAGCTCCATGGCTGCCACCATCTTTGTTGGGTTAATTTGCATACTTTCCCTGATTGGCTGGTGGGCGTAGCAGAGGGATGGTCAATTAGCATGTTTCCCTTTTATTAGTGTAGATAATACTGAAAAACCAGAAACAGCCTAAATGTCAAATAGCGAGTAAATAATTAGATAAATTATGGTATATTCAGAAGATTACTAAGAAACCATTGTAAATATTTTATGAAGAGTATTTAATGCTTACAAAGAACTTTTAATGATGTGGGAGAATGATAGTGATATAATGCTAAATGAGAAGAGAAAACTTGTTATGAAATGGTACATAGGATGCCAATCATTTTTTTAGTGCATTAAAAAAATTGAAAGGAAATATCCCAAAATGTCAGAGTAGTCTCTAGTTGGAGGAATTATGGGAGCTCAAAAAGGAACCCAAAGCATTCTTTCTACTTTCTATACTTTTAAAGTGACTTACTATGTACATGGATTATTTCCATAGTCAAGAAAAAAGTAAAAACTTTGAAAGTGCTGTGTACGTGGTTTCCACTTTTATTTTCTTCAATGGATGATTGCACATCAGCAAATCTTGAGTTATGCTAACTACTTAGGCCGGTCACGACACACACGTACAGAGGTCACATGGGCTGTGCCGAGCTGGCTGTAGCTTATGTACATCAAGTTACACAGGTGGACTTGCTAGGCTGGTTAAAGTACACCACCAAATGATGGGACACGGTTGGGTCAGGCCGCCTCTCCCGCCTGCCACTGTAGTTTAGAGAGGTCTGTGTGTTGGGCTGGTGAGTGGGGTCCTCTGACACTCCTTCCTGTGGCCCCTGGGGTAGGGAAGAGCGCCTGGGTCAGCATCTGCTTGGGGGTCCCCTGCTTGTCTCCCTTGCCTTGGTGTTGGAGCCTCTGGTGTTTTGCTACCTCTTCCAAGAACTGGGTGTGTTCCAGCCCAGGCCCCATCCCCTCTACTCCACATACCTGGGCAGCCATTGCAAGGGAAGGAAGAACCAAGAGCAAATGGACAGGGTCCTGGTGTGACCCGTGCCCAGGCATAGGAGGGGAGGAAGCGGGAGACGTGACCACTACACCACACACAAGCTCACTTTCACGGATGGGCCCTCTGTCTCCAAGGTGTGTAGGCAGTGTGGAGCCCTCCAGAACACAGGCCCTGGAAAAGGACAGACTGGAGCTGTGCCCCTGGGGCAGGCCTGACAGCAGAGCTAGGAGGGTCGGTGGGGGATGTGTCCAACATGGTGCTAGATTGTTGAAAAGTTGCAACTATACACACCTGGGGATCATGCCCCTCTCCCAAGTCATTAGCATGGTGGGTTAGATACAGCTAGATAGAAGTGGAGATACACTTTTTTGAGGAAGGACCTTTCCTGGTGGTTTGGATAAACAGTGAGACAGACTCCTGGGTTCGGCATGCTCTGGGGAGGGCCATGCGACGGTGAGGGACTCCCTATTGCTACACTCTGTACAGGGCGGCTGGGCCCGCCCACTGCGCCCACAGCCCCGGCGGCAGTCACTGGCTTGCCTTCAACCCCTTCCGCCTTTGAGAGCTCTTGGGCCCCAGTGAAATGGGGGCTATGAAGACAAGTGGATGGGAGGGGGAGTCCCCGTGGCCCCGGGGGCACCCCACATGGGGGCTACATGATATTGCACTGGGTGGCCCCACAGCAATCCTTGATGAGTGCCAGCCCGGTCTTGGCCACTGTGGGCTTGCTAGGCGGGGGCTCTGCTTTCTTCTCGGCTCGGGAGCCTGCAGCAAGGTAGGAGCACAGAGAAAGAGAGGGCAGAAGGGAGAGAGAGAAGTGAGGCAAGGAGAGCCCTGACCATCTGCAGCCCCAGTCCCATCCCAACCCCCAGCCAGACCTTGCTTCAACTCAGGTGATGTGGAGAGCTGGCATGCATTTTATATGGTCATACTGACTATTCCCACTGGCTTTCGGTCCTCAGCTTCTGGTCACAGTTGATAAACCTTATCCTATTCAGTTCTCCCTGCCATTGTATCTGCCAAGCTTATCACAGGGCCTGGCATTCAGGAAGTAGTTGGTGAATGACTAAATGAGAATTTTGTTCAAGACACTCCAGTCTGAGAGCTCGTTTCCTTCATTAGCTGTTCAGAAACTTCTACCACCCAGTCTCTGGGAGCTCTTCTTCTGGAACGTCCATGAAATGTAAGTTGGGCTTTCTTATTCTATCTTCCATGTTTCATTACTTCTCTTTCATAGTTTTCATCTTTTTATCTCTGTGCTGCATTCTGGGTAATTTTCTCAGCTCTATCTTCTAATTTATGAATCCTCCCATCAACTGTATCTCTGTATCTAATCCATTGAGTTTTTACTTCAGTACTGGAACAATATTTTTTTAGAAAGCCAAGAGTTTGCAAATCTACCTTTTCTGTTTTAATAGCATCTTGTTCTATCATTTGTGTTGTAGTCCTCTTATCTCTTTAATAATTTTAAATATACTTATTGTGTCTTTTATATAGTCTGTTATTTCTAGTTCTTGGGAGAACAGGCATTCTCTTTTCTCTTTGTTGATTCTATGGACTCCTCTCATTGTGGCTCAATTCATTGATTTTACATTTTTTGTTATTCTATTTTATTTTACTTTATTTATTCATTGATTTCAGATAGGAAAGAAGAGGGAGAGAGAGATAGAAACATCAATGATGAGAGAGAAGCATCAATCAGTTGCCTCCTGCATGCCCCCTACTGGGGATCGAGCCTGCAACCCGGGTATGTGCCCTGACTGAAAATCAAACCATGACCTCTTGGATGGGAGGAGAAGAAATAATGTATGCACTCACTGGCTGGAGATTTAGTTACTTTGTCTAGAGGTTTTAACTTGATTCTCAGGAAATCAGCCATTTCTTTGTCTTCTTCTTGTTCCCTGTGAAGACAGATGTGTAAAGACAAGAGCAAAGTAGAGTAAGCAAGGAAAGCATCAAGGAGCTGAGGAAATGAGGCAAGAGGTTACGTGTGTGGGGCCATATGATGGGCTTTGTGGATGCTGCATGTATGTTGTATGTTATGTATGGGTGGTACATGTATATTGTGTGTTATATATGGGTGATATGTGTATGTTCTGTGTTATGTGTGGATGGTAGTTGTGTGTTGTGTTATGTATGTGTGGTATGCATATGTTTTCTGTGTTATGTGTGGATGGTATTTGTATGTTGTGTATGATGTGTCTTGCTGAAGCAGACACATAACGATGGCGTAAATGCCTACCTGAAGCATAGATGAGACTCCAGGGTAGAGGCAAGGACATTACAGAACCCAGGCTCCCTTCCAGAGTTCAGTGAGCTGGGCAACACCTCTTCTGACCCTCTACCTTTAAGTCACCCTAGACACCTGTGCTTCCACAAGATACATGGCAGGTCACCTCACCTCTTCCTACAGTCACCAGGAGCAAAGACAGTGGGCCATGCCTGGCTGAGCTAGGCAAGGCGCATCCCAGGGGCCTTGGATGACCCAAGAGGACACAGAGATTAAGAGGAAGTTGCCCTCTGCGTTCAAAGAGGCCCTATGAGCCCCTCTCCTTGGGAAGGGCTCCAAAGGCTTTGCTCCAGGACAAAAATATTCAAGAATCAACATTCGTGTTTCCTGAGCCCAGCCTCCCCCAGAGCTTTCAGGTGCACCGTGGCTCCAGGCCCCTGGTTGTCCAGATCCAGGTGATGGGTCCATCTGCAAATAGGAGGTGCCTCCGAACCACCAATGAGGGGAAAGGAAAGAACAAGGCTGGGAAGTGGACAGGGCAGGCAAGGAAGCAAGTCAGTACAGGGGCAGAGTTTCTGTAGAAACCAACAGAAGTTTCTAGAAGTTGCCTTGATGAGGTCAGAGAAAGGTCAGTGAAAAAAATGTGTAGGAAACACACCTGCATGTTATGTGATGTAATTTCTCCCTGCTCACTTCCTTGAATGACATTCAGTTAAGTAAGACCCACAGGCCTTTGCAAGACGCTGGAGCTGGATTTGAGTTTCTCTTGAATGTGAAATGGGTTCTCAAGCCAGAAGGCTGGGGTTCATTTGGATCCAGTGTTAGGGGACCCTTTGGCAAGGCCATGCCCGTTGGGCAGGGCTGTGAGTCCCAGGAGCAGACAATAGGTTTGGAAGGAAGCTGAGGGCTGTGCGCCAACAGCTGGTCCCTGGGGACACGCTGCCCACTCACCTTAACCGCTCGACCTCTGCATCATCCACCAGGAAGTCTCTCTTCTGCACCAGTCGGTGGATCTTCTGGATTAGCTCGTCCTCTCTCTGCTTCTGCAGCTTGGTTTTTTCTTTATCTGGGAAGAAGAAAACAGCAAAGAAACAATTGAGTGAAACTGGTGAAAACACTTGCATCTGAGGGACCAAGGTTGGAATCCTGGATCTACAATTTCACTAGTTGGGTGAACTTGGAAAAGCAACTTAATCCCTTTGAGCTTCAGTTTCTTCCTCTGTAAAATACAACCAGTGGGGCTTAAACGCAGTGACGTTAGTAAATGGCTTAGCACAGAGCTCAGATGTGGTGAGCGCTCAGTAAGTGGTGAAGCAGCAAGGGGGTCCTGCTGAAGAAGGCAGAGGGTGAGAGGGCTCAGTGGGGGTGCTGGGAGGGAAATACTCCATAGCAAGGACATCCAATCTGTGAGATTCCATGCTGATGGCATGAGTCCTATCCCAACTACCCAGGGCTGGAATGCCGAAGAGAAAACAAAAGAACCAGGACTGGAAATGAGGACTGAGAAAACTAGGAGGGCATCAGCTCTCTGTGCTCAGACCCCTTCAGAAGATAAAATAAATGGGCAGCTTGCCCGTCTGCCTGCCTAGGGCTGGCATTGACAATTTCCTCTAGGTTTAGAGACAGAAGCAGAGGTGAAGAAAAATATAATATTTGGATAAGAGACAAAATCAACCTCTTCCGTTAACCAGAAGGGAAGTGAGGAAGAGGGAAGAATTTCTAGCAACCCCCGGATTCCTGGCCATTGCTACACTGACAATGGTGGCATCACTCTTCCCATAGTGGGTCCTGTGGGCTTGTCAGCATGGCAGAGTGCCTTCCAGCCTCAGCAGGTAAGTTCATACGGTGCCCACAGACTTACCAGAGTACCCTGATCGCTCAGCTCTCTCAGGAGGTTCGTAATGACTTGCAGGTCCCCAAGGAAATGAGAACCTCCCTCCCCAAATTAGTCACCCTGTTTTCTATCTCTTTCCAGTTCAGGCATCCCCAGACTCCCAGGTAGTCAGCTGCAGCCCTCCACTCAGGCAACTCACAGAAAAAGCCACCTACTCAAAGTGGTCTGTGCCAGCTTACAAACCAGTTACTTATCCAAGTCTCCATACCACTGGCCAATGCAGTTCACCTGCTTGTGTGTCACATACCTTTTCCGGGATCCCCCACCTGTCTGCAGGCGTCACCCACTTGCTTCCTCGCACCTGCCTCCAGGCCCCATCCATCTGCTCACTGGCATCACCTACTTGCCCAGAGGCCCCACCCACTTATCTGCAGACACTATCACTTGATTGGTGATGTGACCTCTTTCTTGCCAACATCACCCACCTACCTACTTGCCAATAAGAACCACCAGCTTACCAACTTTGCCCACTGCTTGTGGGCACCGCACAACTGATTCTTAACATCTCAATGTGCTGTCCCATGTGACCCTCTAACTTGCATTTCATCTCCACCAGCACCTCGTTCGCCCAGGCCACCATCACCTCTCCCTGGACCATGCATGCTGTGGTCTCCTAGCCAGTTTCCCTGGCCTGTAGCTCCTATCACAACTGTAAGCCCTCCCTGTCGAACCAGACAGTCCTGGGTTGATTCCCAACCTCCTACCCCTCCCAGCTGTGTGATTCTGGGTACAAATGATTAAATGCCCTCCAGGTTAACTATTTACCAAACCAAGTACAAAAGAAACAAATACTTAATGAAGGGAAAAAAATCATACAGCATAAATGTGCTAATGGTAAGTGCTTAATAATTGAAAGCTATTATATTTATAATAGAGGCCTGGTGCACAAAATTCGTACACTTGGGGGTGGGGGAGGGGGCGGGAAGGGGGCGTCCCTCAGCCCAGGGACGCCCTCTCACAGTCCAGGAGCCCTCAGGGGATGTCCGACTGCCGTAGAGTCAGAAGAAGCTCCCACCACCTCTGCTGTGCTCACCAGCCATGATCCTGGCATCTGGCTGAGCAGAGCTCCCCCTGTGGGAGCACACTGACCACCAGGGGGCAGCTCCTGCATTGATGGGATCAGGCTGAAACCAGCTCTCAGACATCCCCCGAGGGGTCCTGGATTGAGAGAGGGTGCAGGCCAGGCCAAGGGACCCCACTGGAGCATGATTGGGCTAGGGAGGGACACAGGAGGTTGGCCAGCTGGGGAGGGACCACAGGAGGGCTCCAGGGCATGTCCGGCCCATCTCGCTCAGACCTGATTGGCCAGACCCCAGCAGCAAGCTAACCTACTGGTCGGAGCATCTGCCCCCTGGTGGTCGGTGCATGTCACTAGCAAGCGGTTGAGCAGCCTTACCATATCATTACAATATTACGTTTTGAGTGGTTGAACGGATGACAGGATGACTGGACACTTAGCATATTAAACTTTTATTATATAGGATTCTCACGAGGTCTTTGTTTTCATTTAATCTAGGTTTCTCAACCTTGACACTATTGATATTTGTGCTGGATAATTCTGTATTATGGGGGCTGTCCTGTGCATTGTAGGATATTCAGCAGCATCCCTGGCCTCCTCCCATTCATGCCAGAAGCACTTCCTCCCCCAGTTGTGACAACCAAAAATGTCGGCTGATTGCCCAATTTGGGGGGGACAAAATTGCTCCTGGTTGAGAACCAGTAGTTTAAACCTTTCCAATAACCAGATGAGGGAGGTACTATTTCTATGTCCAAGGGGAAGGTGACATGCCCTCTGCAGCCAGTTCTAAGGCGGCAGTGGTGATGGGAGGAGCACATTTTGTCTTGTCCTTGAGAAACCCTCAAGGCAGGGAGGGTCCCAGGTGTGCGTTTTTTTCCTGTTGAGGAGCTGATACATTATTTTCTGGCCTTGGCTGGTGAAACATGGTTTTCTAGACCATTCGGTGCTCTCTCTCCTTAATATTTTTATTGATATGTTGCCTGAAGCATCATTTCCCTTCCTAAATTCAGCTAAATCCATCTAGAAATCTGACACGGATCCAAGGGATACACAGAAGACTCTTAACAAGGAGTCAGGGAGAAGGTAAGAGAGAGGAGTAGAAATACAGGAGAGGTAAGAAAACGTTAATATCTGAATTTCCACACAAAGGCAATTGGGACAATGCAATTTCCAGGGGCATCAATGGGACTGGCGTTAGAGACTTGGACTCTGTTATTAACTGGCCCTATGACCTTGTGCGACCTATGCTTCTCAGCAGGACAGTCCATGGCATTTGTGAGGAGCATTCTTCATATGGAACTGCCCCCAGGCTGCATTTTAGCATCCCTGGCCTCTACCCACTTCATTTTTATTTAAACTTTTGGTGTTTGCTTCATTGTGTATTTTTTGCATGAATTTTGATATTTTGATATCGCATTAAAATATTATTTATCCTGATTACTGAACTTTTTGAGCTCCAGCTGAATGCCTTGTTCTCCTCACCCCAGTCCTGGTCCTGGTTAGTCTGCATCCCAGTGACTGTGCCAACCAAAGACACCGCCCCTGCTCCACCCATCTCCACGCGTGCTCTAGAGGCTGCCACAGTCCCAAACGGAGGTGCCTGAGGTGGCCTTGGCTGACTGGGTGGCCACACACTCATGTCTCCTTTGCCTTGGTGGCTCCCACATGTCCTGCTGAGCCAGAAGTGGCTCTGGGAATTCTTCCCCCAAGAGGGAGATGCCAACCTATGTTAGGCCCATTAGAGTCTCCTGGGAAGTTAAAACTTAGGACACAGAGCCCTGAGAATTGGTATCTTGTGTGGGAAGGTCATAGAGAAGAGATGAAGTGGACTTACTTGGCTCTTATGGTAGAGCAAAAAAATGGATCATGCCAGAGAGAGAGAGAGAGAGAAAGAGAGAGAGAGAGAGAGAGAGAGAGAGAGAGAGAGAGAGAGAGAGAGAGAGAATGAATATGCGATCCAAAGAACATTCCAACAGCTTTCCTGTTCTGGTTCCAAACCCTTGTGAGGATGGGCAATATTACCCCCTACCTCTTCAAATTTCATGTCTACCCTAATTTGGAAATAGGATCTTTGTAGATGTCCTTAGTTAAGATGAGGTCTTACTTATTAAGGTCGGCCCTTAACCCAATGACTTGATGTCCTCGTAAGAAGAGATGACATAGAGACATACGAAGAGAAGGCTGTGACGACAGAGGCAGAGACTGGAGTGAGACATCTACAAACCAAGGGGCCCAAGGGTTGACAGGAGCCCCAGAAGCTGGGAGTGGCAAGGAAGGATTCTCCTCTAGAGGCCGACACTCCTGGCCTCCAGACTGTGAAAGAATTAATTTCTGTTGTTTGGAGCCACCAAGTTTGTGGCAATTGGCTAGGGTGCCCTGGGGCTCCAGGAGTCTCCACAGTCCTTCCAGTAATGGCCTGTTTTTGTTTTGTGCTTACATCAACTTGGATGGGTTTTGTACCTTTCAGCCATACTACTGGTGGGTGATGGTGGTGGTGGTGGGGGGGGGGGGGGGGCGGGGGAGGGGCGCGGCTATAAAATGAGAAAGTTGAACTGACCTGGTAGCTCTCAACCCTGGCTGCTTATCACAATCGTGAGAAGGATTTAAAAAATGATCAATGCTAGAGCCCCATATGAATCGAATCGGAATTTCAAGTGGGTCATGTCTGGATTTGGCTATATCCCCCTCATTCTTTTACTGTTTTATGTTTGACATTTTACTTTTTGTGGTGATAGTTTTATTGAGATATAAGTCACATACCATACAGTTCACCCTTTCAAAGTACTATTCAGTTATGCAACCATCATCATAATTAATGTTAGAACATTTTAATCACCTGCAAAAAATACCTCCGTACTCATTAGCTGTCACCCCCTTTCCCTTAGGACTGTTCACTTGCTCGCATATTCCCAGGGCCTGCCTGCACAGGGCCTGGCACCTAGCGCATGCTCATTCAAGGATGGCATCTGAAAGTTCTGCTATGATTGCAGACACTATGGTCAGAACAAGAGTGTGTTGAGTGCTCCTACCTTTGCATTTGCGATCCTGTGTTACGTCATGGCACAGTCACAGCAACGACGTGAGGGTGGCCTTATTGGTCTTATTTTACAAATAAGGAATTTAAGGCTCAGAGAAATTAAGTTGCTCCATGAAGATCATCTAGCTGGTCATCCTGGATTCAAACCCAGATCACTGTACTCCAAAGTAGTGGTTCTTAAGCAAGGGTCAATTTTCCCAACCCTTCTACCCTCCCTCCCCGCCAATACCACATCTAGAAACATTTGGGGTTGTCGCAACTGGGAGGGAAGGGAATGCTACTGATGTGCAGTAGGCAGAGGCCAGGGATGCTGTTAAATTCTATAACACATAGGACAGCCCCCTGTCCCAGCAGAGACTTACCCAGCCCCAAATGCCCCTCGTGCTGAGGCATTCAGAGCGATGCCCTGTTCTACAGTGAGTTGTGCTGCATTTCTAGCTCGACAATAGGGATCCACTGGATGTCAGGGTGCCTCTTGTGCTAACTTGTGAGCTCCCTAAAGTAGGACATCGTGGTTTGCTCATCACTGCATGCCTAGCCCCTGGCAGCAATGCAGCCTCTGGAGACACAGGTACTTTGTGAACAGACAGAATGGCAAAAACATTCGAGTCAACGGCAGTGGGGGATGCTGGTCCTTGCCAAAACCAAGGCAAGGTTCATGAGACAGACTTGTGTTTGTTCCTTCAATAAAACCTTCCTCTTAGCACCTACCAGGACCTCATACCTGCCCTCAAGATGTATGGAGTTTACAGGGGGACGTATATGAGTCAACAGGAAATTATTTGGTAAGGACTTTGATGAGAGTAACACCCTGCAGGGCACCTAGCCCATCCTGGACAGGCAGGAAAGGCTTTCTTGGGAGAAGGGGCCAAATTAGCTGTTACCTGAAGGGTGGATAGAAATGTGTTTGGTTAATATAATAATAAATAATAATAATAATAATAATTAATAATGGCAATAATTTATTAAGCATTTACTATAGGATGGGCACTATGCTAAGCACTTTATGTTTTTTTTCCTTCGTCAATTCCACAACCCTATGAGGTAAATACCACTACTGTCCCAGTTTACAGATGAAGAAATTGAGTTTTAGTGAAGTAACTGAACTTGCCCAAGGTCGTGTCATTAATAAGTGATAGATCTAGGTGTGACTCCAAAGTCAGCTTGTAACCACCATAATCTACCTGTTCCCAAGCAGGATAATAACAGTGATAATTGCTAAAACTCACTGGACTCTTACTTTGGACCAAGTATCAAGCTAAGCACATGGCTTGCATGGCTTCATTTATCACAATGAGATTTACACCCAATGAGTTAGGTACTACTGTTACTATGACCACCCCATTTTCAGAGGAGGAGAAACTGAGCCTCAAAGAGGTGAAGTGACTTGCCGAAGGTCAAGGCCGTGGCCAGGATTAGGACTTGAACTGGACCTGCCTGACAGAGTTGTGTTTGAATCACAGGATCAGGGAGCACTGCGTTGCAAGAATGTGGTCGTGTTAGGAGACCAGATGAACACCATCTTCCAGCCCGAGGGAGTACAGGTGGGGCAGGCTGGGGGCTCTGAGCAGCTGGAATCCCAGATGGTTACCTGGGATGGCGACCAAGTTCTGCAGCTCCTGCTTCAGGTCCATGATGTCGTTGCACAGCTGAATGTCATCCATCCTGGGGAAACAGGACGCCGCCGTCAGCAGGTTACATTGAAAAGCATTCTACACCCTGAGCATCTCCTCAGTTTCAACAAAGAGAACTTATGGGAAGGGGTGGCCTTTATAAAGGCCACACATGCTCTTTGTAGAAGTTTTCCCCCAAAAGAAGAAAAATAAAGGTTGCCCGATATCTCACTATTTAGAGATGATCAGTCACCATGAATAACACCTTGATAGTGTTCCTCTCAGTCTTCATGTGCCCAGCTTTTGTTTGCTTGTATGAGCAAGCTCATGTGGCAGGTTCAGTGTATTCTTTTATCATTTTGTTGTTAAAATGTTTAAACATTACAGAAATTCACAACATAGACAGAGAAAATCTCACTCTATCCTTTAGAGGTGACTATTTTCAACAATTTTGTATATCTTCCTCCAGATTAAAAAAAAATGTTTATGCTTATACTATCATATAGCATATTGATATATACAAACACATGTTGCAATTTTCTAAAATTTAATGATATATCTTGGGCATCTTTTCACATCAGTACATGCAAATCTTCTCACTTGTAATGGCTGTATACTATTCCATTGTGTTGCTATACAGTGATTTATTTAACTCTTCCCATATTCATAGACATCCGGGTGGTTTCCTGATACATTTCTAGGATAAATTCCTAAAAAAATAAACTTCTAGAAATGTAATTGCTGAGTCAAATATCATGAACATGTGCATTTTAATAGCAATTTTCAAACTGTCTACCAATAGTGTGAAAGGATGTTCACTCCCATAGTCTCAGTAATCAGGTTGCATGGACAATTTGCATTATGTAGTGTGTGTGTGTGTGTGTGTGTTACAATATTAACTCATCTTATGGTAAACAATATTTGTAATGGCTGCCTGGAATTTCACCGAGTAGATTTATCAGGTCTGTTTTCATTATGCCTGTATCTTAATTACTTAAGTGGGGTTTTCCGGTTATTTATGCTGTTTTAGTCACTGTAAGATGAACATGATCCACATAGGCGTCTTCTTCAGGTTGGATTATTTGGTGCGTGTGTGATGGGGGCTATAGAATCTCTGAATTGGAACGACTGAGTACAAAAGGTTTGGCATGTTTGGGGCCATTGATACATATTATCAAACTGCCTCCCCTTGAAGGTGTGTGGGGGGATATATGCCTTTATTCTGCAAGTTTTTATTGAGCATTTACTATGTCTGCCACTGTCATAGGCTCCAGGGATACAGTAGTTTCTCCTGCCCTCATGAGCTGAAATTTAGGCAGAGGAGACAGTGGGTAAACAAAAACAGATGCTATGAAGAATAAAGCAAGAGAGGGGATGGAGTGGGCAGTTTGGACATAGCATCCTACCGTCCCAGGAAGAGACAGAGCGAAGTATTAATATTCTCAAAGGGCTCAACTGTGCCCACACAGCATATGAGGGTGGGGCCAGGATGAGAAATTAATCTGAGTCCACTGATCCGCCTCCTTCCGCAGCATCTTGGCCAAGAACTGGTCTGTTGCCTCCACAGTGTCATCCACAGACCAGCTCAGGGCCTCTGCCCTATGCTGGTCAAGTATTGCCCATGTTACCCTTTTTAATCCCAGCTTTCAGGACAAGAGGCAAGACCATCTCACATTAGCCCATGTCTCCTGTTGCCAGAGGCACTCCAACCATTTGTCAGGCCCTCTCCTGGAATGTCCTGGCAGGTGGCAGCTGCTTCGAATGATCTTGGGGAATTGCCAGAAGGGTACAAACTGTTCCCATTGGTTCCTATCAGCGATTGTGCAACTAGTGGAGCTCCCGGGCCCTTTTTCACGGCAACTATGCATATCAGGTTACATCAGTGGTTCTTAATGGGGACAATTTTGGTCCCCAGGGACATCTGACAATATCTGGAGACATATTTGGTTGTTATAACTGGGTGTGTGTGGGGGTGGGAGTGCTACTGGCATCTAGTGGGTAGAGTCCCAGGATGCTGCTCAGCACCCTGCAATGGGCAGGACAGCCCCCCTCAATAGGGAATTATCTGAGCCAAAGTGTCAATCATGCTGAAGTTGAGAAATCTAGGGTTGCACCATGGAATTGACACAGGTCCTGATCGATCATTTCTCAGAGATCAGAGAAGGGAAGATGGCGAAAGGAATTAAAGAGAGATAGGCAGTGGTTAGAGGCAAGAGTACTGACACCAAACAGCTCGGGGCGGGGACAGGGGTGGGGGGTGGGGGGGTGGGGGGTGGGGGGCGGCGGGATGAGGCATGTATCAGTGATTTAGCGTCTCTGAGTTTCTTTCCTCTTATTTAAAATAGAAATTTTAATAGTACTTCTCCCTAGGATTATATGCACATCAAGCATTGAGCACGTGCCTGGGACATACATAGTAAAATGCTTGGTAACTGTTATTATCATTAGCTGTTAGAAAGAAAGAAACGGGGAGAAAAAGAGAGAAAATGCTGCTGCACAAGCAGTTTATTTGACAAAGCTAACAGGCTCGACCTTAAAAAAACCCCACAAAACCTTGATTGATTCTTTTTCTCTATGAAAGTTTTAAAAATAACATTCCTATCTGATCGTAGAACAGATCCCTGATCACTGTAGAAATTTCGGGGGGAAAAAACAAACAAGTATGAGGAAGGAACCTAAAATTATGCCTAACCTTGACCCACGTGCACCCAGAGGTCACTGTCCATTCCAAGTATTTTGGTATATTTCACACCAATTATGTTCATGCCTGTAGCCCAGGTGTAGCAGACATGTGCCTTGGGTGGCCTTAGTCCATCTCTACACTGCACTCAGCATGAGTTTGAGTCCTCCCAAACACATCCAAATCCAGCACACATTAACAAGTGAAATGGAGTTCTGACCTTCTCACAGGGAGGCATGCTGAGAACTCCATAAAAATCCCTGCTAGACAGCACTGTGGTTTTCCTCAACTCTCCCTCTTGCTGCCAGCTTCCCATCTCTTTTCTTTCTCTTCCTCTTCCAAAGGCCTCATAGCCAGCTTTGAGGAAGGTCAGCTTTGGTCTTCGACTTACAAACCCCAGTTGGCAAAAGCAAAGATTAGTGGTTCCTGAACATTTCCGCAGGAAAGGAGCATGTCCTCCCCCCACCCCCCAACACACACACACACACACACTCCAAGCTGTCTATCAGAGCATTCCGCTAATGAAAAATCAGGTCATTTTCTGGAAGATGGAGGGATGGGTTTCACCACCAAAGGAAATAAAAAGTCAACGTTTATTGAACATGTACTATGCGCTGGTCATTTGTCCCCAGCACTTTCCATGCATAAACTCATCTAAATCTTCACTGCAGTCCTGTGAAAGAGGTATTGTTTTTTATTTCCATTTTATAGAAGATAAAATAAAAGTTAAGCAATGTGCCCAAAGTCCCACACTGGTAAGTGGATGTTGGGATTTAGCCCAAGTTTGTGCTCTTGATCACTTCCCCATGGTGTCTCGCCCCACTTGGCTGTATGAGTTGCCGCTGACATGGTTGGTTGGCCACATAACTGGCCTTCCTCTTCCGAGAGCCCTGACTTGTTTAGGAGGCAGTGTCTCCATCCCTTGATGGAAGCCAGTTATCTCAGTCTGTTCAGGCTGCTATAACAAAATACCATAGGTTGGGTGGCTAACCTATGAGAGATCTGAAGGGCTGGGAAGTTCAAGATCAAGGTGTTAGTTGATTTGGTTCCTGGTGGGGACTCTCTTCCTGATGTGCAGATCACCACCTTCTTGCTATATCCTCACATGCTGGAGAACCAGATCGCTCGTCTCTCCTAAAAGGGCACTAATCTGATTCATGAGGGCTTTGCCCTCGTAACTTATCACCTCTCAAAGGCCCCACTTCCTGCCCTGGCCAGGTCGCTCAGGTGGTTGGGGCATCGTCCCATACACCAAAATGTTGAGGGTTTAATTCCTGGTCAGGGCACATATGGGAGGTACCAATTAATCTCTCTCTCTCTCTCTCTCTCTCTCTCTCTCTCTCTCTCTCTCTCTCTCTCTCTCTCTCTCTCCTCCACTCCCTCCCTTCCACTCTCTAAAAAAAGCAATGAATAAAATATATCCTCAGGTGAGGATTAATAAAAAACAAAAGAAAGAAAATGACATAGTTGGAAGCCTAGTGGAAACCAGCAGAGACCATGACGTGAAAGCTGAAGCAGACTGACAGAGGAAAGGATTGACTTTTTAACATTTATTTGGATCCTTCCTTTATCATTTGTGGATGCGGTGGACATCTTGGGATGGCTGGGAAGAAGAAATGCCTGGTCACAGAGATGGAGCATTGGTCTGTGATGTGAAACCTGGATCTGAGTCCAAGTCCTACCACAAACCTCCTCTATGGCTAAAAGAAAAACTCTGATTTTCTATACACTCTGCACATCTGACACCAAATTGTGGGTTTTTCCACACCAAGCAATTCTCCAGTTCTCAGTGGACATCCACTGGGTGTCTACAATCTAACTCAATTCTGATGCTCACTGCCCAGAGTTAGCACAGACCCCACAGGTTAAGGGCTCAGGCCTACTTCAGATGCCAATCAAAAGTCCAGGCCACCAATACTTCTGACCAACTCACTATGAACTGGTGTTTCCAGGAACCCCTCTTCAGGTTCTATACTTTGCTAGAACTGCTCACAAAACTTAGGAAAACATTTACCTGCATTCACTAATCCTACATAATAAAAGCCTAATATGCTAAGTGTCCAACTGTTCATTTGATCGTTCAACCAGTCGCTATGATGCACACTGACCACCAGGGGGCAGACACTCCGACTGGTAGGTTAGCTTGCTGCTGGGGTCCGGCCGATGGGGACTGGGCAAGATGGGCTGGACATGCCCTGGAGCCCTCCCACAGTCCTTCCCCAGCCCCAATCATGCACTGGTGGGGTCCCTCGGCCTGGCCTGTGCCCCCTTGCAATGAGGATGTCTGAGAGCCAGTTTTGGCCCAATCCCTGCAGGCCAAGCCAAGGGACCCCATTGGTGCACGAATCTGTGCACCAGGCCTCTCATTTATT